GCAGCCCTCCGTTTAGCCTTCTGGCGATTCCCAGACATTATGGGTAAAGTAGTGTTCACAAGGCTGTTGTCCCCCTCCCCCGGTGGACCTAGTTTAAAGTGCGTCTAATGAGGTTTGCGAGTCTGTGAGCAAAAAGGTGTTTTCCTACTTGTGTGAGATGCACCCCATCCCTTGCCAGTAGGCCATCCTCCTGGAAAAGCAGGCCATGGTCGAGGAAGCCAAAGCGTTCCTCCTGACACCATTTTCTAAGCCAGTCATTGACCTGTACTATTTTTCTGGCTCTTGTGGGTCCGTGTCTTACAACAGGGAGGAGGGATGAAAAGACCACCTGTACATTACATTCTTTTAGCTTTGCTCCTAGAGCTCGAAAATCATTTGTGATCTTTTGAAACGTATGCCTTGCAGTATCATTGGTTCCTACATGAATCAACATGAGGGGAGGACGGTGATAGGGCTTGAGGAGCCTGGTGAGCCTCTGAGGGATATGGTGTATTTTTGCCCCCGGTAGGCAGCATATTTCTCGAGCCATCCCATCTGGTCTGGAAATGACAGCTTCCGTTCCTCTAAGGAGGGAGTCGCCTACTACCAAGACCTGTTTACTTTCAGGAATGACAGGCCCCTTTTGTGCAATGTAGTGTGTAGGTCTCCAGAAAAGTGATCCTGTTGGTGTGAATTGTGTAGGTGAAAAGTGTTGTCCTCCTCCTCGACATCCCCGGTGCATTCGTCAAGGACAATCCATTGAGATTCGTCCAAGAGCCTATGGTTCTCCTGTATGTGTTCCTGTTGCTCCTGGTCTATGGTTGGGGATGGTACACCTGCAGGATTGTGCAAGTGTGAGTGTTGTGAAGTGTTGTCCCAGTCAGGGCTATCCCCTGCACACTGATCAAGGATGAGCCACTGATCAGTATCTAAGCCATTCTGGTCTTCCCCAATATGTTGTGTTTCTTGGTCAGGTGATAGTTGTGTGAGAATTTGGAATCTATTGTGTAACTGCAGCTGAGCGGAAGTATTCTGAGGAGGCTTCCGGGTCCTATGTGTCTTCTAAGGGTGACATTTCTCCAAGCCTGAGGGTTGTCCACATCTGAGGTGCTGTTCTGTTGAGCCTCCCCGTAATGTTGGTGTGATATGGGCTGCGTGTCTAGGACAGTGTGGTGTGTGGTGTCTAAGAACAGCTCAAGTTCCTGAATGTCCTTAAGGGTCTTAATACGGTCCTCGAGTTGTCGGATCCTGTGTTCCATGTGAGTGATCTGTTTACACTTGGGGCAGATGTAATTGAGTAATTGTAGTGTGAAAAAGCTGAACATGCCACAGCTTGTGCATGAGACGGGAAGTTTTCGTGTTTGTTCCATCTGGAGGTTGCTAATGACCTCCTCTTGGTGTGTGTTTGATGTTGTCTGTATGCAGGGGTGAAAGTATAGGTTACTGAGTGTACGAGTTTGGTTTATATAGGATAACCAGGAAGCCCCGCCTCTCAAACAAAGCAGTTAAGCAGATTCGAACCACTGACCTTTCAGTCAGCAAATTCAGCAGCTTAGCGGTTTAACTCACTGTGCCATCAGGGGCTCCAATCCAAAGGAAAGGGGCAGGCAAAGTCAAAAAGAGAATGAAAATACAGAAAATATAATAATTCTTGCTGTGAACCATTTTCATGATTAAATGCTCTGGATTGCCACCTATTTTGAGGCTGAAAGAAAATTTTACTGGGCGGCAGAACTCTTACAGGACTTAATGTCCTCATTTTTCTTTTTCTGTGGCCACTCCCTTGGTTAGATCTGGTCTGAGATCCAACACTAGGGTCTCAATCCAGATCCAACATTTCAAAGACGAAAAGGAAGGACACATAAGGTAAGACAGGTTGCAACAGTTTGCTTTTGTCCATAGAGAGCAATACACCACCCATTCCTCTCCCTTTAGAACTTAGAATCAAAGCAAGCAAATGGAGCAGTGGTTCCCTGCTCCTGGTCCGTGGACCACCAGCAAGAACTAAAATATGGTCTGCAGCCTTACCATTACTATACCATTGCAACGAGAGTGACTGGTCTTGTTAAACCCTCTTATAGTGCCAAGGCTTATTAAATATGGTTTTCTGTGGGTGAGCAGATGGCGACTACTGGATAGCATCTCTATCAGAAACTATAATGATGTGGTCTATCCAATGCAATTTTCTGAATCAGCATCCCAAATAACTAAAATGAATCTAAAGTAGATCAAAAAATTATTAGCAACCCTTTTGAAGCGGGCCTCCTGGTGGTGCAGCGGGTTAAACCGCTGAGCTTGCAGAATGAAAGGTTGTTGGTTTGAATCCAGGGAGCAGGGTGAGCTCCCCCTGTTAGCCCCAGCTTCTGCCAACCTAGCAGTTCGAAAACATGCAAATGTGAGTAGAACGATAGGTACCGCTTCTGCAGGAAGGAAATGGTGCTCCATGCAATCATGCTGGCCACATGACCTTGGAGATGTCTATGGACAACGCCGACTCTTCAACTTAGAAATGGAGATGAGCACTGTGAAGATCCCTTACCTTGCCAGCCAGGGTGGCAGGGCCCAGGAAGAGACAGGCTAGGTAGTTTCAGCTTAGTAGGCCTGGCAGAGAGCTGCAGGAGCCATCTTAGTTTAGGGAAGCTCCAGTTCAGAGAGGGGGAGTGGCCGAGGCCTGAGCCAGCCCAGCAACAGCCAGGATTGGTTTGGAAAAGGGGGGCGGAGTTAGACAGATGGAGGGAAAAAGAGAGAAGCTTATTTTGAGAGGGGAGTTCAGTTCTGGGTGATGTTAGAGTAGGATCAGAGTTTTAGGAGTCTCTGTTAGGAATAGGCAGCTTGCCTGTAGTTTGCACAGCAAAGCAGGCTGTGGCAGACTGATTACAGCTATTTTACAGAAGAAATAGCTGGGTTTTGTTTAGGAATTGCAACAAAGAATAGAACCATTTCTCTCAAGCAACCGTTACGCTTCTAAGAACCAAGAACACTTTTATTGTAACAACCACAAGCCTCTACAACTGCATTCGTTTTATTCTGTAACTTGTATTCAATAAACCTTTCTTGTATTTTTTAAAATTTAAGCCTGAGTCAAGTGCCATTTGTAAATTCAATCCCTTTTCTTTTTGAATCAACCTCTCCTGTTTCCCCTCAAAGAAGCCCTTGGTAATATACAGTACTTGGTGGTCCTAGAAAAGCCTTTTAACATTCTAAATAGCCAGAGGGTTCCTGATTATTTGGTTTATGGTGGCAGCGAAGGTTTTAGTAAAGAGACATCCCCTCAAACGCTATAAGTGCCAAAGTGGTGTGAATTCCTTATCAAAGGAGGGACAGTGTTGGGATCTGTTTGCCCACTGTCCAGTCATATTGTTTGGCCGTAAAGTCTGCCTTTATGATTGGGGTTAGATGGTGGGATTGATCTTATAGCCATCTGCCTGGTTATTATAATTGGTGTGGCAGTGGTGGGTTTTGCTTGACCCCCTTCCCAAAGAGCATAAAGGAGCCTTTATAATAGAGTGGCAGCGGTGGGATTCTTTTACCCCCCCTGCCCAATCGGACATCGAGAGTATCTTTATAATTTGGTGGCAGCGGTGGGATCTTTGTTGACCCCCTGCCCAGACGGCCATCAAGCATATCTTTATAAGCACCACCCCCAGAATCGGATATGACTAGACTTAATGTCAGGGCCTTTACCTTTACGTAACTCTTTTAGTACTAATGTTGGAGAGTGGTCCCTGGTCAGAGTGGTCCCTGGTCAAAGTGTTCCCTGGTCAAGTGGTTCCTGGTCAAAAAAAGGTTGGGAACCACTGGAATAGAGGATAAGGAGGAAATAATAGGAGAAGAGAGAAGCTGTGAGATGTTTAAACTGAATGAAAAAATGGGATGATCGAGAATAAATTTGAACTCTCTACCAAATCAGGATATTTGGAAAGTATGTGTGTTTCAGAATACAGTTCTCATAACCATATATGATTGGTCATCCTGGTTAAGGCATCTGGGAGTTAAAACTGCATTACTAAATAAAAGCCCAGAGGTTCCCATCTTGCTGCATTTGCTAATTTGTTGGGTCAATGGAAATACGCAATGCAATTTCAGTAAATACAACCATTGTATGTAATGAGGAAGTAAAGAGCATTCTTTAATAAAACTCTAACTACTGTACAACAATAACGATCTATATTAGGGGCAACAAAACTATACCTAATTACTGTTTAAAAATAACTTTATTCCAGTGGTTCCCAACTTATTTATTTATTTATTTATCGTATCAGGAGCGAACAAAACAGCTGTATTGTATTTTAAAAAACCACAAAGTTTGAAAACTTGGCATTCTATTAAATGCCCTTTGACCAGTAGCTGGCAATTGGAGTTCCTCTGTTGTTGCTATAAGAAGGTCCTCCACTGTGCATGTGGCAGGGCTCAGACTGCATTGTAATAGGTGGTCTGTGGTTTCCTCTTCTCTACACTCACATGTTGTGGACTCCACTTTGCAGCCCCATTTTTTAAGGTTGGCTCTGCATCTCATGGTGCCAAAGCACAGCTTGTTCAGTGACTTCCAAGTTGCCCAGTTTTCTGTGTGCCCAGAAGGGAGTCTTTCATTTGGTATCAGCCATTGATTGAGGTTCTGGATTTTAGCCTGCCACTTTTGGACTTGCTTGCTGAGGTGTTCCAGCGAGTGTCTTTGTAGATCTTAGAAAACTATTTCTTGATTTAAGGCATTGGCGTGCTGTCTGACATCTGAACAGGGAATGGGTCGGAGATGTCTCTGACTGAACAATCCTTTCAGCATATCACTTTTGACTTTTATTCATGATTTTTTTTTATTATGTCTCTGCCCTGCATTTCTTCCACTGAGGTCAAAGCAGGGTACTTGGTTCTACCTCGCTCCACTGTATCCTCATAACAACCCAGTAAGGTAGATCAGATTGCCTGAAGTCACACAATGAGTTTCTGTACAGCAAAGTTCCCCGGAGTTGAAGTGGATCATATTTTGTAATGTTAAGGAATAAATAGGTCTGGTTTCCAGAAAGAACGTGCAGCTTCTTTGGGAGAGTTGATGGACAATCTGAATTTTGAAGCAACTGATGGAAAATATTATTGAAGTTTTCCCAGCCACTTCCAGACTTTAGCTGTCATTTTTGGAGACTCTCTGGAAGGCCACGGAAAGGGCAAATAAGCCCTGGGCAGTGTAGTAGGTAGACATGATGAGGAAGCGAGAGTGAGGCAGGAAGGAGCAGAACGTTTCAATGCCAAAGAAGAGATCAGAGGCAACGAAGAGGAAGCTGCCGATCGAAGTCCTGCGTCCTGGGTGAGACAAAGCCCGCCAGGTCATCATGCTGAGTGGGACTTTGGAGGCTGTTTCGGCCCACCGAGAAAGGCCCTCCAGACATGGTTGCACCAGGTAAGCGTAAGGCACAAACACGGAGGCCAAGGCGATGACAAAGATGAAGGGTCGAAAGGGAGTCAGGCCAAATGCTAAGATATAGGAGATGCTACATGCAGCAAAGGCGGCCCGTCCTACAGCAGAGAAAGAAAGGAAATAGGTCAGTACAGAATCTGGTTTAGAGGGTCTTCAGTTGTAAGATGGCACAGTTGCAATGGATTTCCTACAAGCACAATATGTCCTCAACCCATCACCAGATCCCATCTGATCTTGGAAGCTAAGCAGGCTAGCCCCAGTTTGTTTTTAAATGGGAGACTGCTGATGAATCCCAAGTATTGAAGGTTATATTTCAGAGAAAAGAACTGGGAAAACCACTTCTTGGTATCCTAGCATTAAAAAAAACCCTACAAAATTCATGGGGTCATCATAAATTGAAAGGTGACTGGGAGGCACATAAAAAGGTAAAGGTAAATATTTCCCCTTGACATTAAATCTAGTTGTGCCTGACTCTGGGGGGTGGTGCTCATCTCCATTTCTAAGCTGAAGAGCCGGCGTTGTCCATGGACACCTCCAAGGTCATGTGGCCGACATGACTGCATGGAGCACCATTACCTTCCCATTGAAGCAGTACCTATTGATCTTCTCACATTTGCATGTTTTTGAACTCTAGGTTGGCAGAAGCTGAGGCTAACAGCGGGAGCTCACCCCTCTCCCCAGATTCGAACTGCCAACCTTTCAGTCAGCAAGTTCAGCAGCTCAGCGGTTTAACTCGCTGCATCACCGGAGGCACATACACACTCATGAATAACTTCCCCATTCCATGCTGAAAAAAGAGAAAAAAGTTGAAAATACATTATTGCTGATATTTTCTATTAAGTCGTCTTTGATTGATGGCAGCCTTCTGAATGAGAGACCTCCAAGAGGAAGACTCAAGGCTGTGGCTTCTTTAGACGTCTCTGTCCAATGGAATGTAGTCTCCATCTTTTCCTACTGCCTCCCATTTTACCAAGCATAATTTTGATCTGAGTCATTTCATCTTATTACATATCCAAAGTACAATAGTGTCATTTAAATGTTTTTTTTTAATTTTTGTTTAGCTCAGCCATGATTTGTTCTAAGATGTATTTGTCTTCTCAGCAGTCCTTGGAAACTACTCTCCAGAACCACATTTCCAAGGGGATGATTTCCTTCCCGGCAGATTTGTGCATTTCCAATTTTCAATCCATACCTACCTACATGTTGGAAATATTATGGCCTGGATGATTCTGATTTTGTAAGAGTGATGCATGATAGGCACAAATGTTGATTTTTTTAAAATTCACCCTAACTATCTTTAAAATAGTGCGGTGGCGCAGTGGGTTAAAGTGCTGAGCTGATGAGCTTGTTGACTGAAAGGTCACAGGTTCGATTCCGGGGAGCGGCATGAGCTTCCGCTGTCAACTCTAGCTTCTGCCAACTTAGCAGTTCGAAAACATGCAAATGTTAGTAGATCAATAGGTACCGCTCCGGCGGGAAGGTAACGGCGCTCCATGCAGTCATGCCAGCCACATAACCTTGGAGGTGTCTATGGACAACGCTGGCTCTTCGGCTTAGAAATGGAGATGAGCACCACACCCCAGAGTCAGGCATGATTGGACTTAATGTCAGGGGACAACCTTTACCTTTAACCTTATCTTTAATATGTTGTCTGTTGCTCAGGTCCATTTTCAATCATAGTTCCAGGACAAATAACTATCTAACCTGGCCATTTAATTGTGGCACAAGTTAGATCAGCGGGGCCCAAACTAACATCTGTGGGCCAGGTGTGGCCCTCCAAGATCATTTCCCCGGCTCCCGTCCTAAACTTTAGACTTATGATCACCCTAAATCTGACACAACTTGAAGGCACACAACAGCACAAATAAAAACTATAATCACTCCTGCCCCAACAGTCTGAGGGATTGTGAACCAGCCCTCTGCTTAAAAAGGTTAAATGATAACACAGCAGACCCATGCAATGCCATCAAATGAGTCTCAGAGGAAAATATCTCATCTCCCCAAAGGAGAATTACATTCTAGCAATTCAGATCTTTTGACTCTCTTTCTGATCTTTCGAGGAATGTAGGCTCTTGTAATATAAATATGTTGTTGGCACCCTCATGTGGTGAAAAACAATGTTACGTTAGAGTCAACACAGCCTGCCTTTTGCAAAACACTAGCAGCTAGGTTACGTTCACATGTTTCTAATGTCTCTGTTATAATTTATAGCCTACATTCCTGTTTTTATCTCGCAAGCCTAGCAAATGCTGATTTATTATCAGTAAATGTTTGGTTTTTATACTTATTTTATATATCTAATACCCAAAGTCACAGAGAAATTTCTCAGCCAGAAAGAAATCACGAGTGCAAAAAGTTTTTGTTGCTGTTCATTCGTTCAGTCATTTCCGACTCTTTGTGACCTCATGGACCAGTCCACGTCAGAGTTCCCTGTCAGCCATCACCACCCCCAACTCCTTCAAGGTCAATCCAGTCACTTCAAGGATGCCATCCATCCATCTTGCCCTTGGTCGGCCCCTCTCCCTTTTTCCTTCCATTTTCCCCAGCAAAAAGTTTTTAAAGCCCTAGAATCATAGAGTTGGAAGACATCTTGTGGGCCATCCAGTCCAACCCTCTGTGAAGAAGCAGGAAAATCGCATTCAAAGCAACCCCAACAGAAGACCATCCAGCCTCTGTTTGATAGCCTCCAAAGAAGGAGCCTCCACCACACTATGAGGCAGAGAGTTCCACTGCTGAACAGTTCTCACAGGTGGAATCTCCTTTCCTGTAGTTTGAAGCCATTGTTCCACATCCTAGTCTCCAAGACAGCAGAAAACAAGCTTGCCCCCTCTTCCCTATGACTTCCCTCACATATTTACATATTGCTGTCATGTCTCCTCTCAGCCTTCTCTTATGCAGGCTAAACATGCTCGGCTCTTAAAGCCACTCCTCATAGGGCTTGTTCTCCAGACCCTTGATCATTTTAGTCACCCTCCTCTGGACACATTACAGCTTCTCAATATCTCCCTTCAACTGCGGTGCCCAGAGTCCCTTTCAGGTTTACTTGCCCAAGAATGAAAAAGGCCAGATCCAGTTGGTTTGAAGAGCAGTATTCCTTTTAATGGAGATGACAGATTATAAATGTTTGTTACAGATCCTAGTTGCTGAACATAGCCAGTGGGCAATATTGCAAATATGCATGTGGTGCATCATGCATTCAATTAGCATGGCATTTAAGTATCAATTTAAATCACACTATCTAAATTCCTGAATACTGCCTCCCCCACCCCAGGAATATTCAGCACCATGGATAGCTCCTTAAACTTTTTAATAACAGGGAAGGCAATAGTTATCATTGTTTAATATTAGCCCAGTGGTTCCCAACCTTTGTTTTTTCAGGTGTTTTGGACATCAGCTCCCACAATCCCTGGTGAGCTGGCTGGGATTTCTGGATCTTAAAGTCCAAAACAGCTGGAAAACCAAAGGTTGAGAGCCACTGTATTAGACCAAGGACTATGGATCTCACATTCTGGGGTGCAACCTTTTGAGCATTATGCACAACAGTTGTGCAATTTTTTTTGGAATATGAAATTATTCAGACTCACTTGTTGAGTGAACTAAATCAAACTATTCCAGTTTGAAACATGTTATTTCCTTGTAAAACTTTTTTTACGGAAATGTGGGAGTTGAAGTCCAAAACATCTGGAGAGCCAAAGTTTGCCCATGCCGGAACTAGACCCAGTTCCACCGAATCCATTCTTGAGTTCCTGTCCAATCCTTTTCAGGATCTCTTTAACCACCTACCTAGAAAGAAAAGCTGAGGCCACACCAGGCAGGCATCTCCCACAGTGGACAGCAGCAGGCCTTGGAAGATTGCCTTGGCGTATGGTGTCCAGGCTCCGGCAGCGTGGGGCTGGATGGCCACAAAGAATGCCAAGGAGAGGGATGGGAGGCCCTTGACAATGGTGGCGGGGATGCTGGGTTCGGGGAGGTTGAGTGCAAAACAGGCGATGCAGGAGATCAAGAAGGGCAACAGCTTCATTAGAAGACTCCAAGTCTAAGAAGAGGGGCATGAAAAGGCAAAGGGAGAATGACTTGGATTGAACAAGGCTACTCATGACTGGTCCAAGATGTTTTGCTGCCAGAAGGAAAGCAACAAAGGGCACGCAAATACTTATTCTGGATACGGATTACACATGACACCATTATGGGCTGCTATTCCCCTTTGACTACTATGATTCCATCCTGAGGTCTGTAGTTTAATGAGGCAAAAAATATTTATTTATTATTATTTATTTACCCTGTTAGGAGCCCCCAGTGGTGCAATGGGTTAATCCCTTGTGCCGGCAGGACTGAAGACTGACAAGTCGAAGGTTCAAATCCGGGGAGAGCATGGATGAGCTCCCTTTGTCAGCTCCAGCTCTCCATGAGGGGACGTGAGAGAACCATTTAAGGTTTTATAGGCTAAAGCCAGGACTTTGAATTGTACTTGGTAGTAGACTAGCAGCCACTGGAGCTGCTGCAATAGAGGAGTTGAATGCATCCTGTAACTCGCTCTGGTGAGTAATCTGGCTGCTGCCCATTGGACCACTTGAAGTTTCCAAACAGTCTTCAAAGGCAACCCCACGTACAATGTGTTGCAGTAGTCTATTTGGGATGTAACCAGAGCATGGACTACTGTGGCCAAATCTGACTTCTCAAGGTACAGACGCAACTGGTGCACAAGTTTTAATTGTGCAAAAGCCCCCCTACCCACCACTGAAACCTAGGGTTCCAGGCTTGGCAATGAATCCAGGAGCACTCCCAAGCAGTGAACCTGTGTCTTCAGGGGGAGTGTAACTCCATCCATCATAGGCTGTAACCCTATACTCTGTTTTGCCTTGTGGTTGATCAGGAGTACCTCTGTCTTGTCTGGATTCAATTTCAATATGTTCAACCTCATCCAGGCCATTACAGCTGCCAAGCACCAGTTCAGAACCTGAACAGCCTCCTTAGCAGCCTCTTTCTGGCTGAAAATTCTATATGCCCCTCACTAAACTACAAATCCCAGCAATCCATATGACAAAACTGTGGCAACTAAAGTGGAACTATGGTGCCATACAGACACAGCATGAAGGAACCCTAGGTAATATTCTCTCTCATTTGGGCATATAGCTAATTGTAGCTTCACAACCTTCTCTATCTCAGCATGGTGTTTCTATAAAGATGACTTTTCTTGTCTTTTAGGCCAGGCTTTCCTGGTTGGAGAGTGCTCTAGAAAATAATTAGCAATATACGAATGGCTTGGGAAATCTTCTCTCCCAGTTTGCTTGATTAAATAAACCTCCTGGCTTGCATTAAGTTTTCCAAAAGCAAAGCAGGACACACACAACCAAGAACACACCATACAGTCTTCCTATAACTGAATTAAAATCTGTTAATAATTTATTTTTCCTGGCAAGGATAGAGAAGATTTGATTAGCTACCTAAGATAAATGAAAACTCTGTTGAACAGAACACATACACAATGAAATAAATATAATTTCCTTCTTCCCAGGGGAGGGAAAATGGAATCATAGCCTAACAGGAGGATATATGCTTAGCCACTATCCACCAGGGATTTGGCAAGAGCAGTCCCAGTTAATCATTTGTTGCCCTACTTTTCAGTTGTTTTTAAAAGTCCCAGTTTCTCTTCCTCCCATTATATCTGTTGGTGTAAACTACAGAAGCAGTTAAACTTTGGGAACTTAATTTAGTTTTCAAAAGCACTGGTCCTGTACATAGTTTTTGTTACATCCCGAATAGATTACTGTAACACATTCTACATGGGGTCGCCTTCGAAGACTGTCCGGAAGATTCAACTAGTCCAGTTTTTCTCAAACTTTCTAATGCAGTTCCTCATATTGTGTTAATCCACAACCAATCAGTGGAACGTCCAGGGTGAGAGGAAAAAACTCTTGTCTGCATGCAGCGCCCAAACATGAATCAAGTAGCACAAAAGGCACTGCAGAATAATTCAACCAGAGAAGTCAGTCATAGCAGAGCACCTGATGAACCAAGCTGGACACAGTGTATTATTTGAGAACAGAGAAATGCTGGAGCACTGCAACAACCACCATGTTAGACTACACAGAGAAGCCATTAAAATCCACAAGGATGTGGACAATTTCAACAGAAAGGAGGAAACCATGAAAATGCACAAAATCTGGCTACCAGTAGTTAAAAAAACTCTAAAATCAGGACAGTAAATAAAGAGCAACACTAAAAAAAAATAAACAAGGGGATTCCTGACATGAAGCAATCAGGGCCAGCAAACACTTCCCAACAAAGGATTCCCCCAGGCAGGAATCAGCTAGTCTTTAAAGCTGCAAGGCCATTAAATGCTCATCAAGGTGGCCAATTGTAACATTCACATCTGCCTCAAGCAGACAAGAGTTCTTTCTCTCACCCTGGACATTCCACAGATATATAGATCTCACAACTTCTGAGGATGCCTGCCATAGATGTGGGCGAAACGTCAGGAGAGAATGTTTCTGGAACATGACCATACAGCCCGGAAAACTCACAGCAACCCAATCCTTTCAAATATTTAAACATGGCTACGATGTCACCTCTTAATCTTTTCATCTCCAGACTAAACATATCCTACTACTACTAATGTTTATTTATATCCCGCTTTTTCTCTCCACAAGGGGACTCAAAGCAGATTACATTAAAAGCATTTCAATACAATTTAAAACATACAAATATAAAAATATTAAAACAGAATTAATTATCATTAGTATTAAAAACATTTCAGTTAAACTCCCCAAATTGCTCCTCAAAGAGCATAATACCCAGAATGTTTACCATTTTGGTCACCCTTCTCTGGACACGTTTGGCTTGTCAATATCCTTCCTGAACTGTGGTGCCCAAAACTGGACACCACAACAGAATTAACAGGAGCATAAAATAAAATACCTGTCATGATTTGTGCATAGTTCCTAGTAACTAAACAGGTTTGTTAAGCAACATGACATCTGGCAGCCTGAAGGTGATTTGAAATACAGGATCATAACAGAGTTAGGAAGTCAAAGAGAAGAGACACAAGACAAACGTCACACTTAGATTTTGCTGACCAAGTCACTGTTAGCCTCAGAATACTCTGTGATAGGGTTACCTTTAGGTCACTATAAGTCTGAGATGAACTGAAGCACACAACAACACCAATGGAAACTAAATCTCTAATTATTTAGAAAAGTGTTTCTCAACCTTCCTAATGCCGTGACCACTTAATACAGTTCCTCAAGTTGTGGTGACCCCCAACCATAAAATTATTTTCATTGCTACTTCAGAACTGTAATTTTGCTACTGATATGAATCTTAATGTAAATATCAAATGTGCATGATGTATTTTCATTCACTACCAAATTTTGCACAAATACCCAATACACCCAAATTCAAATGCTCGTGGGGTTGGGGGGGGGGGTTGATTTTGTCATTTAGAAGTTGTAGTTGCAGGGATTTATAGTTCACCTACAATCAAAGAGCATTCTGAACTCCACCAATGATGGAATTGAACCAAACTTGGCCTGCAGAACTCCCATGACCAACAGCAAATATTGGAATGGTTTGGTGGGCATTGACCTTGAATTATGGAGTTGTAGTTCACCTACATCTGGAGAGCACTGTGGACTCAAATATTGATGGATCTGTACCAAACTTGACACAAATACTCAATATTCCCAAATGTGAACACTTGTTTGGGGAAAATAGACCTTGACAGTTGTAGTTGCTGGGATTTATAGCTCACCTACAATCAAAGAGCATTCTGAACTTCACCAATGATGGGGTTGAACCAAACTTGGCACACAGAACTCCCATGACAACAGAAAATACTGTGTTTTCGATGGCCTTTGATGACCCTTCTGACACCACTTTATGACCCCCTCAGGGGTCCTGATCCCCAGGTTGAGAAATGCTGTTTAAGGTCATCATAAGTTTGAAATGAACTGAAAGCACACACCAACACCAATAGAAACTGAATCACTAATCATTTAGAGAGTCAGAGGAATTTTTAACATTTATTCAACAACCAAGAATATAGCAATATGGGCAGTTTCCCGAGGTACAGCCCACCCACTCAAAACTGGAATTGACCAGAATTATATTCAGTTTTTTAAAAGGACTCCTGTCCAAGTCTAAAACAATTTGGAGTGAAGCAAAACCACAGGAAACAGTTCCCCACTCCTAGAAGATTTTCAAGCTTCTTAAAAATGTGGGAGGAACTCTTTGCAGCTTGTACTTTGTCCACCATTGGAATATGCAAATGCAAACATAAGTACTTTACAAAAAAAAGGTATTACTGTTGACACATCACCCCAAAAAGGAAGAAATGCTTCACTGGAAAAGAAGTCGAAAGAGGACCCATATTTGCATGAAGTTTGCATGGCATATGCTAGTTAGGAGGCAGGGCTGAGTTGGAAATATTTTGTTGTTCTTGTTCTTGTACTACATCTCCCATTGGCCTTAGAAATTCTGTTCAAGAGCTATCATTCACAAGCTCTGGAGCAAAATTTGAAAAAAATAGTAGCATGGAAAGATCAATATGATTTATCTTACCATTTTGAAGAAGACTGTGACCAGGAGGTAACTTTTGACGGGCTATTTTTCAGGGGGCCTCCACCTCTCACTGGAGTTGTTTCAATATAGGACTAAAGAGCAACACTAAATCTATTGCCCAAGGCCAGTTCTGAACTACTTCCTTTAGTCTGGCAAGACCTTGTGTTTTGATTATATCAGGATGTAGCTATCCAAAAGTGACGAGATGAGAGTATTGCAGAATTAAGGCAGCTTGACACTGTCGTGGCTGAATGCTATGGATTCCTGGTATTTGAACTGATGAGGCAAATACTCTTTGGCAGGGAAGACAAAATATCTTGTAAAACTACAACTCCCATGACATTGAGCCATGGTAGTTTAAGTCATATCAAACTGCATTAATTCTACCATATAGATGCATCAGTATTTTCTCCAATACAGTCAGGTGAAACTACCTTATTAATGGAGATCGGCTCATCAAAATAACCAGGAATCATT